GTTACTTTGAAGTGTTTTGGAAATAATTGGCATTTTAGATCCTGTTTCTGCAGTAGTAGAAGTTGTGCTTGGAATCTGGTTAAGTAAAGCAGTTTTATTTATTTTTTTCAGGGGGAGGTGAAGAAATGTCAAACAAAAGGTTGTCCAGTTCAGAGCTGTCAAGAGTGTCTAGAATTGAAGATTCAAACAAGCCATCAATGCATGTAGATTCAGGCTGGATGATTGCATTTGAATTGCCATTGTGTGGAATAATAATTTGACTGTACATGTCAGAATTCAACATCATGAAATCATCAGAAAGACCTTTTACCAGTTCATGTTTTGCCAGTGTCAAAATTTGACCACCAGTGAATAGTTGTACCTTATACATAGCATGGGTACCAAGTGGATGTATTATATCAAATATTTTGCCCTTTCCACCATTTAAACCGCAATTTACTGTGTCACCAACACGAAAATTTACTTTTTCCATCTTATTTGTTTGGCGTTCTTTCTATCATGACAAGGGAAGTAACTCCTATTTGTTTACATTATTAAGTTATGCTGTATTACTCCCCTTGTGTTGTTGCGTAGGAATACGAAAAGAAGTTCTCACGCGGAGTGTGAGATCAGCCCATGTGAGATAAGATTTTCCAACACCGCTATTTTTAGTAACATTTACGGATTTTTCTATCTGGTTAGTGAGAAATTGGGATATCACACTGTGAATATGTTTGCTTGTCATTATAATGCACAATATAGTGTTTATTTTATTTCATTCTCTTTTTATTGTTTTTTCATTTTTGTTTATGTCTCTTAAGTGATAATGTAGTTAAAAGGTTTTTTTTAGTATTTTCACAAATTAGAACAGTTTGCAGTTTCTTAAGGAGGCCAGTCTTTGCTTGCTTTGCCTGAAATATTGTTTTATTTATATCTGTCAGACCTTACAGATAAGAACTTGTCAGATAATGGTATTCATCTACTATATACACCATCAAATGGACACTTTTTATTTCACACGTTTCGTATATAGCGTGAAATATTTGTCTGAACGCGTCACATATTACAAAGGGTGATAAACTTGATATTGGTCAGTGTGTATTTTGGACGTTTTTCAGTATCGCATACATGAACATAAGTTAAGCTTTAACTAATCTTTAATTTTGTCAAAACATTCTTGTCTTAAAATAATTATCCTTTTACCAGCAATCCGAAAGTTTTGAATAAGCGTTTTGTTAGGAAATTAATGAAGATCAAAGTGATAACCTAAAGGAAGAAATAATATTTCGCTGCCATTGAAGAATATGAATTCTCAAGACGAGACATACGAATGACAATTTCTTTAATAAATCACTTTGTTTTTGATATTTTGATTTTTTTGAAATTTTGCCTCCCAAGTTAACGTAGAATGTCTATTCGAGGATGGAAATTAATGTATATATTGCTTTAAAAAGAGTTTGTGTATCTTAGAATGTCATTGTTATATTACATAACTAAACAGAAACCATTATTTAAAGTGGTGCTTTTAAAAGTAAGCCTATAATGAGGAATGCTGAAAAAGTGGTTATTATTGTCACAAACCCACACATTTTTTCCTTCTCTGTGTAAAAGCCGTTTTTAAAATTCTCAAAATACGGACGATATTTGACATAATTAAGTCACAGTTAACAAATAATTCTCAAGAGTGAAAAAAGATCACTATCAATGTAATACTGTCTTGTTCTGAACAATAACGTGATATGTACGTTTGGTAATATAAATTATACGATAGAAAGGAGTAAGTGTAGGAAAATATAAACATATGCAATACATGCATAAAAAATGATATACAAATGTTTATAACATTCAGACGATGTGCATAACCCATTTATCATCTGTGCCCATTCAAGGTTGATGAAAGTCTGATCTATGTACAAACAAATTAATAAAAAGCATTCTAAGAATTATGAGACTAAAATACCAAATGTTAACAAAAGCTTTATTTTGTGTCTGTTCAATATCTTTAATAATAATAATAATAATAATAATAATAATAATAATAATAATAATAATAATAATAATAATAATAGTAGTAGTAGTAGTAGTAGTAGTAGCAGTAGTAGTAATTTTATGTATCTTCACTCATACAGTTATGTTAGTTATATAAACAAATTACACTGCCAGAAGGACCAGGCCTTCCAGGGGATTGTGTTCAATGTTGCTCAATTTTGTCATTAAATCTTGAAACTTTAAATGCAAGGTGATGTGTCCACCTTGGTCATTTAGGCTTGTTGTCAATGCATGAGTTGCACGAGTAGTTTGTCTATCTCACTTACTATTTCAATTTCAAGTTTGTTTTTTCTTTCTGTTTCTTTTTGGGCGGTCCCCAGTTGTCAACCGCTAACACGTTTGTCCCCTAAACCTGTGTACAAAGTATTGCGCAAACATATGTGAAGCTACAACCTGCATAATTGTGAAAAGCATTCGTATATAAACCGTGGCATGGTTGAATGAAACTGACAAATGCTGCGAGACTCGAACCATCAGTTTTCCTTACGACACTACATACAATATTTGCCTTTGAACAATAATGCATGGTATAAACAAGTAAAACGGGGTCTATCTGTCAAGTTGAAATTATAAGTGTAAATAGACTCATTTGTTCCAGTTCCGAAATGTTAAATTTTTTGTGTTCTTTTTACATCACTTTTTGTTTGTTTTCCATAAAAATCATCTAATACCTGGTTAGTTTCCAAAAACTTTTTTTCATTATTATAAACTAGGACATTTGATTATGTTTGAACTGTTCTTTATTGTCATAGTTTTAGTCCTAAAAGGTAATAACGAATAGTCCATCAGTTCATTGATGGTACTGAATGTAATTGCTTTAAAAGTACTGACGTACGAGGTTAGGGCAGTTAGTTAAGTTTATCAGGCAGATGTTCTTTTTCCCGTTACAGTTTACGACTTTGTTAAAGTAATATTAGGAATATAACCGTCACGATTAATTTAATTAGTTTGTAGTAGTTCCGTTCGTGATAATATTTAAAGGTTCTTCTTTATATATTTGAAAATTAAAATTGAAAATAAGTTTTACCTCAAACATGTTCTATTTCCAGTCTAACATCTTTGTTCTCAATTATAAACAAAACACAGAGTGGTATGAATAAAGTCTCAACAAACAAGAAATAACGACAATTCGAACACTCTTCACATTATTCTCTTATGTTGATATAGTAAATTGGTTTTCATAAGTTTAATCTTTTTTTATGTATGTTTACGTTTGTATTTTACTAATCGATTGTGTCTATACAAAATGGAAGAGGACAAGGCAATTAAAGCTAAGAAAGTATTTAATCATATTTTGAGCTCGTTAGATAATTTAGGATGTATAACATTTGGAACATGATGTTAAAGTTAGTCCAGAAATATTGTAAGGCTGCGAAATATGGGGAACAAGTAACATATCATGCACTGAAGATATGCATACATATATTTGTAAACGTTTTCTTTATGTAAAGAGAACAGCTTGCTATGATTCAGTTCTAGGGGAATTAGGTCGTTACCCTATGTATATAGTGTTTTATAAACTTATTGTGAAATATTGGATGTGTACTATTAATATGCCTTCTTCTAGATATGTTAAAATTTGTTAAAATATGTTAAGATATTTTTTATAATATTTGTAATAAAATTGGGTAACTGTTGTTAGAACTAACTTGTACCAAAGCGGTTTTGGATATATTTGGGAAATGCAATGTGTGGACCAGCCAATATTTTTGTCCGTATATGTCAATAGATGAAAAGACCATATATTCATATATTCAAAATTGGATATCAAATTGTTCATTAAAAGTGAAATTGATGGATTATACTCAATTAAAAAAATGTTATATACCTGTAAAATATATTTATTGTCTGATTATTAAAACATTTAGAAGTGTTTTAGCAAATTTTCGATCTTCATCTCATTGTTTATTGATAGGAAATGGGCGATATAGTTGTATTGAACGTGATTATAGATATTGCTAATTTTGTGAATGTGTTCAAGAAAATGAGTACCATTTTGTACTTATTTGTCCTATTTAGTCTAATATAAGACAAACGTTTATTAGTGTTTTTTTCCCGGAAATATCCATTATATTTAAAATATTATTATCTGATGTCAACTCAAGATATTGATACTATTAAGAAATTAGCAACTTTTTCATAGATATCGCTTAGAGAACGTGATCATTTTTGTCTATGTTTATATAATTAGTCTATGATAAATGTTGTCATTTTGTTTTACGTATTACTATTATATCTTATGTCTGATTTGTTGATGTATATTTATATTACATCATTATATATATATATATATTTATGTGTGTGTGTATGTGTGTGCGTGTGTGTGCGTGTGTGTGCGTGTGTGTGTGTGTGTGTGTGTGTGTGGGCCCGTGACCTTATATCTTAATAAAGTTTGATTGATTTTCTTCCTTATAAAACGACCGCCCACGTGGCATAATGTCACCCATACGAACAACAAACAGTGATTTAATTAAGCAATGAAATCAATGCTTTGGGATATTATTCCATAAAGATCCTGTAACTCAATTTTAATGGTTTTATATCATAAATATGATGCCATTATGCTCAAATGATGATTTATCAATACTGTATGTTTTATGAAGCATTATTTGTAAAAATAATACCAAATTTACATTGCATCCAAAATAAAGGGAAGTAATTAGAAATTTATTTTCTATAAAGCCTTAGCCAATTTTTCAATAATAAATGAATGCATATATTTTATTTATTACATATAATGCCTTTAAACATCTCCAGTACATATTTTACATATCCTTCGATGTTTGAAATAATTTTAGAAGCATTATGATATGCATATATAAAATTTCACTTGTATGTGGTTACATCCTAAATTATAACATACAGGATCTTTAAACAATGCACTTAAAATCTAATGGCATCATCAAAATATTCAAAATTAACTACCTTAATATTAAGACCCTTGTTATGTGAAGGACAAAATTACTCACGTCATAAAAACTCGACCTTTCATATAAAATAGACACACTAAAATTGACGGATCAAATGCTTGCTTTCCAGTTTCGACATCAAATGGAAGCATTAAGTACGTATCTTGTTTATAACATGATAAAATACTTGTAATTTAGAAAATATCTTATTTTCTCAATATAAACAAGCAATGAAATTGATAATATTCTTTTGTTTTTCAGACTTTGTAGCTTTCTGTGTAGCGATTTGCTTGCATTTCACATTTTGTTGTGAGTACATTTAATGTTTTATGCCATTTTGTATTACGACAATTAATTTTTGACAAGGACATTGAACATTCACATGTTATGACTTTGCTTTTTAAGACATTGCAAGGGAATACCTTTACAAATTGGAAAACATATTAACTGTTGTCATTGATTTACTTCATATCATGTTTAAAATTAAATCAATGCAAAAACTCGTAACGTTTCATCCATCCGTGTTTGAAAAAAAATATTAAGTGATTCCGATTGTATGATTAAAATATGAAATTTCTGGATGACTTTTAAACATCTATTGACAAATTTTGGATTCACTTCCGGCTCTTTAATAGATACAATTATTGTTAGAAATACCATTTCATTTTCTTTATTAATTAGTCATTTCTCTATTTAGATTCCCTAAATTGCTTGTCTTGTCAGAAAATTGATGACCCTCGAACCTGCAACAGTACGATATCATGTCAAAATTCACAGGTATGAATGATACAATTTGTTAATATTACATATTTATTACAATACAAAACGAAAACGAAGAGTACTTTCATTATTTACCAGAGATACATGTTATTGTGTTTTCTTTAATTTGTAGTAAGAATTTGCATACTTATCTCGCTCAATCTAACGTTTTATTTGTCAACATGTGAATCAAATCTTTCAATAATATAGAAAGGTCAAAATAACATGCTCACTTTACCCAACATTTAATTTGTAGTAAGATGTATATACTATGATATAAGTCAGAGAGAAAACAAGATATTGTGATATGTGTTTGTGTGTTTATGAATAATGAAAATTTTACACTTATCTGTATATGTCAATCACCTTGGAATTAAAACGGATTCAAAAAAGTTCTATCGCACGACCTGTGATATAAAATACAGGATCGAGTTATCCTTGTATAATGAATCAGGGTGGGCGGAGGCTTTGGGACAAAAAAGAAGTCTTAATTTAGCAGTATTTTTGAAATAGATTGAAAATCTGCTAAATAGAAAAACAGTATCAAAACGTATCAAGTCAGCAATGAATGTGTAGCTACAAAAAACACCTATTACCTAAGTGATAATTTCAGAAAAAAATATGCCATACACGTTCATGTAAGAAAAAAAAAGAATTCAGCTATGCGTGTCCATGTAAAAAAATAAAACTAGCTATGCGTGTTTCTTCTGTAATATATAAATTCAGCTATACGTTTTCATGATGTAAAAAAATGAATTCAGCTATGCGTGTTTATGCTTAAAATAAATTCATCTATACATTAGCCATTTCACGTGTTGCAAATTAAAACTTCCCATGTTTTTTTAGGTATGCTACTTGAATGTATCAGCAGGAATATATAAAATGGGATGTGCTGATAACCAAGTGAGTAAATTTTACATTTCCATATATTTTGCTAAGAATATATCTCTGAAGTGTCACTGTTTGATAATGATAGTTTGTAGTTATTGTTGTTGATGTTTTGCATTGTCACGACGAATGTGATTATATAATTGTCGTTTTTGTTGAACTTAAATTCAGAATATATTCAAATAAATTTAGGTTAGTGAAAACAGTATATGATATTTAATGCTTGAGAATAATTAATTTAATACATAAAATAAGCAAGAAGGTATGCATATCTCACAATAAAATTACACTATTCGTTACATTGATTAAACAGTTAAACAAATAATCATATCATAACGGTGATGTTGTAACTTTATGATGATTTGTTTTTCCAGCATTGTGGTGGGATATCAAGTGTAGGTATCATTGGACGAGATGTGACGTCACGTCAAACGTCAAATTGTCTAGAGTGTTGTTCTTCAGACAGTTGTAACTCCGACTTGTGCAAGCACATGAAACGTAAGTTCCTTAATTTGCGGCTATTGGATATATATAAATAAAAAGTAATTTCATGGTCACTGTTTCGATAATAAAGTATTTTAACCATGAGTAAGTGCCAGACTCGAGGAGAAGCAAGCGCTTTATTCCGTTTTTAGCTCGACTTTTTTTTTTTTGAAAAAAAAAGTAGAGGTATTGTTATAGTCAGGTCGGCGTTGCCGTTGCCGTTGCCGTTGCCGTCCAAAAACATGTACCTGGATCATAACTTTTTTATTTCTTGGTGTATTGTCTTCATACTTGGCCACAACAACCCTTGGGACAAGACCTTTCAGTAGACCACACTAATCTTGACCTTCATCCATAAATGACCTTGACCTTCAAGGTTAAAAGTCCAATTTTTGCTTGTTCGTGCTGTTATTGGCTGTTACTTTGTTATTTTTGAATGGATTGTCTTCAAACTTGAACATAATAATATTCAAGGATATCCCTTAAAAATAACCAGTCAGACCTTGACCTTCACTCATCAATGACCTTGACTTTGAAGGTCAGATTATTGAAATTTTCATTTTTTTGGCTATAATTGGCTGTAACTTTGTTATTTTTGAATGGATTGTCTTCAAACTTGAACATAATAATCTTCAAAGATAACTGTTGAAAATATACCGAAAGACCTTGACCTTCACTCATTAATGACATTGTCTTTGAAGGTCAAATTATTGAAATATTCATTGTTTTGGCAGTAACTGACTGTAACTTTGCTATTTATATAAATGTGTGTGTGTATATGTATATATATATATATATGTATATATATATATGTATATATATATATATATATATATATATATATATATATATATATCAAATATATATATATATACATATATATACATGTGTATATATATCTATCTACAAATATATATATATATATATATATATATAGATATATATATATATATCAAATATATATATATACATATATACATGTATATATATATATATACATATTTATATATACATATATATATATATATATATATATATGTATATATATGCATGTATATATATATATATATAGATATGTATATATATATCAAATATATATATATATACATATATATACATGTGTGTATATATATATATATATATATATACATATATATCTATAGATATATATATATATATATATAGATATATATATACATATTTATATATACATATATAGATATATATATATATATTTCATATATATATATACATATATATACATGTATATATATATATATATATATATTTTTTTTTATTTTTTTTAAATATATATATGCATATATATATAGATATATATATATATATCAAATATATATATATACATATATATACATGTGTATATATATAGATATACATGTGTATATATATAGATATATATATCTATATATCAAATATATATATATACATATATATATATATACACATATATATATCTATATATATATATATATATCAAATATATATATATACATATATACATGTATATATATATATATATATATATTTTTTTTTTTTTGAATATATATATGCATATATATATATATATATATATATAGATATATATTATATGTTATTTTGGTTTTGGAGTGATATATGTGGATATATTACCTGTTAAGATTTTATATCACCCGAGCCGTTAGGCGAGGGTGATATTTTATCTTGGCAGGTAATATATCCACATATATCACTCCAAAACCAAAATAATAATTTTATTACCCTTCCCCTGCCGAGTTTAGACGATTTTTTAAAAAATCATTGCTGTTTTAAATGAAACGTCGAAATAAGATTCCCTTTAGGATACATCTTCGTCCAACATGACGTCACATAAATACATGACGTATTTTTCCCGTACCTTACGAAAGTAAACAAGAGAAAAGGAGTAGTCTGTTGAGCGCACTTTTTTGTAATTAATATCAAGCTTTCACAAGGTCATATTTGTTTTCGATACTGATGGTTATATGTATCATTACTCTTCTTTGGTAAATATTTATCATTTGACAGTTAAAAAGTGCTTTTAAATCGGAATTTTCACCGCGTTAAATCGAACCGTACGCGCATCACCTCAGCGCATATTGTTTACAACGTTGGGTGCCAAACGGGGAAATTTAGTGTGTATATTACCCGTCTGGCTCGGTTATATCAATTTCTTTCGGGTGATCAATATCCAATCAAAAAGGCGGAAAAAATCTGGAAGGGTAATAAATATATATATATCAAATATATTCTATTTTTAGAAATTGCGTCATTGTTGCTATTTTTAGAAATTGCGTCATTTTTTCTATTTTTAGAAATTGCGTCATTTTTTTCTATTTTTAGAAATTGCGTCATTTTTTCTATTTTTAGAAATTGTGTCATTTTTTTCTATTTTTAGAAATTGCGTCATTGTTGCTATTTTTAGAAATTGCGTCATTTTTTCTATTTTTAGAAATTGCGTCAATTTTTCTATTTTTAGAAATTGCATCATTGTTGCTATTTTTAGAAATTGCGTCATTTTTTTATTTTTAGAAGTTATGTCATTTTTTTCTATTTTTAGAAATTGCGTCATTTTTTTCTATTTTTAGAAATTGCGTCATGTTGCTATTTTAAGAAATTGCGTACTGTTGCTATTTTTAGAAATATGCTTAATGTTTCTATTCATATATATACAAAATATATAAACAAAACTAATGTGACAAGACAGACCAACTAAATTTATAAAAAGGAAACGTCAATATATGTTTAAACCTTTCTATGTTTGCGTTTAGAAAAAGTAAAAAGTCGAGCGTTGCCCCCGCCCGGCGGTGGCTCTTGTTATTTTTATGTTTCAATGATTCTTTTGATAATTTTGATAACATTTTAAAGCTTCACAAACTTACAAAAAGTCATTACATTGATATCAAATAAATCACTATTTGATGTTACTCTTATTAAAACGGTTTCTAGCCCTTGTATAAAGGTATTTACCATTTCAGCCACATTGTGTATTGACGATGAAACAGTTGACTGTGCACGTATAAATACAATATTTCATGTATGTAAAGACATCCAACAAGCTAAACTGGTTTGTCCAAAGTTTTGTGGTCTGTGTCAATTAGGTAATTTTATGTTTAGCTTTATTATAACTATATTACAGTCCTGATTTGGATCTATAACGATTTTAAACCAGCTAGATACTATTTTATTTTATAGCTATAACTTTTATCCCTAACATACACGCAAATCACGAAACGCTTATATGATTCAACGAATAGGAAAATCCGTCTTATGTCAGTGACAAATACGAAACCATATTTGGAACTGCTGACTATTTTTCTCGTTGGCTCTTATCTAAGCTGTGCACTACGTAGCGTTTTGAAACGGGAACCGATAAATAAGGGCGTGGTTTATTTCTCATTAAATACGTATTCATCTGTCATTTTTGAATTCCACTTTTTGTCTCAAAAATTGTAGTGGCTTCTGAGGCCATGTACTCGTATTTTGCTACTCGCAGCGTATCACGCTCGACCTTCGATCTCGCGAAATATTAAATTCTCCAGCAAAGTTGCAAACTACAACACTTCGTTGATTGCCTTTTTTCAAATGTACAGGAATTAAAATAAAGTACAAAAATCCTAGCATGGGTTAAAATGTGAAAGAAAGAATAATGACAACATTTATTTTTCTTTTCATATTTCCAAATAACAAACAAACATAAAGGTTGTAAAATTTAGACCTAAATTGACTGCAGTACCATATCCTTCTTTAAAACATTATAAGAAAATGTATTTCTAAGAAGTCATACTATCATTATTAGTTGATGGACAGTGGAGTGCCTGGTCATCGTGGTCAAGTTGTGACGTCACTTGCAGTTTAGGCTTCCAGACGAAAACTAGAACTTGCACGAATCCTGCACCAGCAAATGGTGGACTTGACTGTATAGGAAATAACACAGACAATAAACAATGTCAAAATGATCCGTGTCCTGGTGCGTAATATTTTCATACATAATGGAATTATCACAATGTGTTATTTCTCTAAATTAAAGTGTTAGTATCATAAAGTGGATATATATGATATAATGCATGTTTATTCATGCTAGTTTTTTTTCTGTTTCGTTCTTTCATTTCTTCGTCATATATGTAATTGTTTGAATTTTGTAATGGGTAATATATAAAATGCTGATCTTCATTAACAGATTATAACAAGTTTTTTGTCAAAATCAAACAGAAAAAACTAAAATTGGTGCTTATGCCCATATGCATGTATCTCATAAGTTAGATCTAAAGTTATTGTTGTTCAGTAAACGGAATATTGCACTATTATTCAATATGAATGATAACCATTGCTTCTAACTTATACCACGTGAACGTCATATATATGTCCAATATACATGTATAATTTGCAGCCGGACGTGCATTTATCAATTGGACAGTTAAGTGCGTTTAACATTGTCCATGTAACGGCAATGATAAATGCCTTTAACGGCTTAGTATCCGAATTAATTATATTTCGACAGTAGCAAGCGTCTTGCAACGTCAAACTTTAACTATATTTATAAAAGTGAATTGGTCTTTACTAGAAGGTTTGCAATATCATAAATGATTATGTTAATAGTATTAATTTTATAACATGAATACAACACGTCTGCACTGTATGGCTATTAAGATTAAACTATGAACATTGAATAACTGACCCATCTTGCAAAACTTATGAAAATATCTTAATGCTCCGGAAGTAAAATATATACATGTATTTCTATAAACTGACAAAACAACATGAAAATATATTGTCTAACTTGGGTTGCGTTCATTAGACACCGCCCTTCTTTGTTGATCTTGTTTATCATATTTTGTCCATATTATTTTTCAGTTCACGGGATATGGAGCAATTGGGGATCGTGGGGGTCGTGTTCTGTTTCATGTGACGTCGGAATGCAACGCCGAGATAGGTCTTGCTCGAACCCTTATCCTAGCCGAAATGGAGACCATTGTTTCGGAGAATCACGTGATGATAGACTATGTTTTCCTGGTGCTTGTGCAGGTGAAATAGTACATTTATTCGTTGTCGAGACAAGTCCTGCCATATCAATGAAAAGGGAAGATGTCCTTCTTAAAGTGAAATTATTATTATACTAACAATTGAATTATAGAATACAGGTGAAAAAATGATAATCCATGTTGAGATACAAAAAAAATTAATCTTGTGTTCGAAGTATTTTTACTAAAATGTTGAAGAGATTCAATTTCGCTTCGGGCAGTTACACAATTTTCATATACACTTGTTCAGAAAAATACCTACCTCATTCTAGATCACATCTTCAAAGAAACATTTCATTTGGATATAAGACGTCAATCCATTGTCATTTGCATTTATTCCGTCTTTACTTTTTACTTTTATTAAATTGCCTTTTTGACTTTAGAGTGTCAGTCTCTTAGACAGGTAATTTTGGAATGTAGAATTGATTTAAGTAATGTACTTTTATAGATGGTAAGTGGTCAAGTTGGGAAAACTGGGGTTCTTGTAGCGTGAGCTGTGAAGGCGGAATTCAAAGTCGGCTAAGAACATGTTCTAACCCGAGACCATCATTATCTGGAAGGAATTGTGGCGGAAGTTCGGAGCAAACAAGATTGTGTAACAAATATGCATGTGCAGGTATATTACATATAAAGCAAATTTTAATTTCTGTGAAACAATGTTAGTTTTTTTGTGTAATTCAGGTGTTAATTTAATTTGATAATATTGTTGTTAACTCCTTACTCATTAAACTGCGCAGTTTATGTTTGAGAAATGCAACAAACTCTTATTATATAATTTGATAAACTTAATATTTTAGATGGTGGGTGGTCAAGTTGGGAAAACTGGGGTTCTTGCAGTGTCAGTTGTGGAGGTGGTATTCAAAGTCGTCTAAGGACATGTTCTAACCCAACACCATCTTTATTAGGAAGATATTGTAACGGAAGTCCGGACGAAATAAGAACTTGCAACAAACAACTGTGTGCAGGTATATTACATGTATATTCTTTACTGACATAAATCGCGTTAGTGTTCAACATCATTAGCCGACCAATGAAATTGTTTCACTTTTCAAAAAATGCCCTTCTTAATCCTTAATCTTATAGACAGGCAAATATATTTACTTAATATTAAGTCACGAAAGACGCATGCGTAAACTGAATGTAATAGCCACGCCTCATTAGGACGACGTGACATTGGTAAAACTCTAAGCGAGAACTAGGTCAACGTTTCTTCATACAATCAATCAACTACGGTAACCACTTCTTATGGCGGGTCGTTTTTCTTATAATTCGCTGGAGTAAATATAGTGGTTATTTCGAACTTACAAATATAAATCACAAATGAATGATCATTTTCATTTAAAAAATTGTCATTTAATGCACGCACTAAGGCCTATGAAGTGTAAAGTTTTACTACTTTCTAACATCGTTTATGGGTCATTTGAGTTTATTTCAAATGGAAATGTCCTCGACCCTGATCGACAAATTTAAGAAGCGAGAAGGGCTTAGGTTGATATCACAAAAATAACTCACGTCCAATATTTTTTACAAAGTTGCAACATTGAAGGAATTTAGGTAGATGACTCGAATTCATGAGGATAACTTTATTGTTGACTTTCAATATTAGAATTGAAGGGTTAAAAATGAATATTATTTTTTTAAAATTCGTGCGTATTTTTTAGAATTGTAAAGAAAAATTTGTGGAAGGGGATATCCGCCATAAAAATACATACCTTTCATTAAATTACTTATTCTTACATGACAAATACATTGATACAATTTTAAATTTATATTTTAATATTCTTTGTCCCTTTGTCTATTTTCCGTGCCCCTTTTACCAATTTGTTTGTATGTAAATTCACACACAAATTGTAAATTAAGCTGTGAATGTCCCACATAAATTATTCTATGTTCCAATTCCTTAACTAAATGTTCACGTTTGTAAATTGTTCTTATAAAATCACACTTGTTGTGTAAAACGTAATAATTGTTAAAATGTATTTTACAACTCGAAAATGAAATTGATTTAACTTCCAATAGTCAGTGTACAAACTTCCTGTTCTATTTATGGAAAACGTGGGACTTTGTAAAAATATGTTATTTTTACCTTTTTAGCTCACCTGAGGTTGCTCAGGGTGAGCTTTTAGGATCGGTGAATGTCCGTCGTCCGTCGTCTGTCGTCCGTCGTACGTCGTACGTCCACAATTGCTTGTGAACACTCTAGCGGTCGCATTTTTGCCTCAATCATCATCAAACTTGGTCAGGATGCTTATCTAGTTGATAGCTTGGATGAGTTCGAACATGGGTCATCTCGGATGAAAAAGTAGGTCACCGTAGCTAAAAATAGAAAAACCTTGTTAACACTCTAGTGGTCACATTTTTGAATCAATCATCATCAAACTTGGTCAAGATGCTTGTCTGGGTGATAGCTCAAATGAGTTCGAATATGGGTCATCTCGGATGAAAAAGTAGGTCACCGGAGCTAAAAATAGAAAAACCTTGTTAACACTCTAGCGGTCATATTTTTGCATCAGTCATCATCAAACTTTGTCAAGATGTTAGTCTAGGTGATAGCTCGGATGAGTTTGAACATGGGTCATCTCGGATGAAAAAGTAGGTCACCGGAGCTAAAAATAGAAAAACCTTGTTAACACTCTAGCGGACACATTTTTGCATCAATCATCATCAAACTTGATCAAGATGCTTGTCTCTGTGATAGCTCGGATGAGTTCGAACATGGGTCATCTCGGATGAAAAAGTACGTCACCGGAGCTAAAAATAGAAAAACCTTCTTAACACTCTAGTGGTCACAATTTTGACTCAATTGTCATCAAACTTGGTCAGGAAACTTGTCTAGGTCATTGCTGGAAATAAATCGAACATGAGACATCTCGGATGAAAAACTAGGTCACAGGAGCTAAAAATAGAAAAATCTTGTTCACACTCTAGTGACTACTGTTGTGATCGAAATATTCTGTTAATTGGTCTGAAAGTTTGTTTTGATGATTTCTAAGTCAAGATCGAACATGGGTCATCTTGGATGAAAAACAAGGTCACAACGCCCAAATATGGAAAAACCTTGTTAACATTCAAGTGGTCACATTTTCGACTCAATTATCATCAAACTTGGTCAGGATGCTTGTCTAGGTAATTGCTTGGATGAGTTCGAAATCGCATGTGAAACTAGGTCACCGGAGCTAAAAATAGAAAAATCTTGTTAACACTCTAGTTGCTACTGTTTTGATCCAAGTATCCTGGAAATTGGTCTGAAAGTTTGTTTTGATGATTTCTAGGTCAAGTTTGAATATGTGTAACCTGGGTAAAAAACTAGGTCGCACTGCTCAAATATGGATAATCCTTGTTAACACTGTAGTGGTCACAATTAATACTCACCTGTCATGAGACTTGGTCAGAATGCTTGTCTAGGTAATTGTTTGGATGAGTTTGATAAGTCAGGTGAGCGATCTAGGGCCATCATGGCTCTCTTGTTATTTATATTTCTGTGGCAAGTCGAAGAAACATTTTTATGAATTCCGGTCCATTTCGATCCATTGTATTTAATTCAATATTTCTGTCAGTAAAGCATATAATGTTTTTCAAAAATTCAAAGTTAAGTTTTCGAAATTAAGAGATCAAAATGGCAATTTGCAATTTTAAATTTAGAATTTAGCATGTTATGGGACTTTACGACAAAGTTATACAAAAAGATTATATTGTTCCTCTACAAGGGTTGACTAGCTCAACACGTAGGGTCAATCTAAATCTAAACGGTTGAGATGTGCGTAACTTCCTTACAATTGAGAGAGGACCGCTTCTCTGATAGTGAGCGCAGTTTAGACTTTGCAACCTAATTTTGTATTGTAAGTCTGCCCGAAGCAGGCTGTTATCTCAGGACTCGGGTTTTAGGATAAGTAATGTTTGGATAACATGGCATAAATAGAGGATGTTGTGTGAGTGTAAGTTAATTTTATTGGAATTACAGTGCGCGAAACTCTGGCAAGCATAGTATTAATTCATTCAATGAATTAACGAAATTCAATGGTGAACCTACAGGAATATATTATTCTATTTATCAATAACTAAGATAAAGACTGTTTTTGAAGTGAAAAGGTAACATTTTTCATATACGCACCTACAGTGTTACGTCTTTACGCTATGTTTGACGTCACGTCAAAATAAATTCATGTTTGTGTAATACCATTTTTATGCTAATAACTCGTTTTATAATGTAATTGGTTTGAAAAAGATTAAATTATTGGTCTTAGTTGGTGAGTTTGCTAGCACTTTCCCTATAAAATACATTATGAGTGAGAGAACTACAATATATTATTCATAAGGTTGAGAGAGAAGTCATTATTCTGCATAATGGGTGAGAGCAAAGCACTATAAAACACATAATGAGTGAGGGCATTGTTATACACATGTATATTATCCTAATGATTGAGAGAGATGTCATTATTTATTCTAATCGGTGATATAACACTTAATGAGTGCAAAAATTATCGAATAATTATACTAAGTGATAAGAGAGGTCATTATTTTTCCTAATGGGCGAGAGCAAAGCACTATAAAACACAAAATGATTGAGAGAACAATCACTAAAGTATCCTAAGCTTCAGAGAGATGTCATTCTTTATCCTAATCGGTGAGAGAAATGAATCATATAACACTTAATGAGTGCGAAAATTATCGAATAATTATACTTAGTGATGAGAGAGAAGTCATTATTTTTCCTAATGGGCGACAGCAAATAGGTTGAAAGAGGATATGTCATTTTGAAACATAATGGGTGAGAGCAAAGCACTTTAAACATAGTAAGAGATATGTTATCCTAACTATTGACAGAGGTGTCATTATTTATCCTAATGGATGAGAGCAGTGAATCATATAAAACTCAATGAGCGAGATAACTATAAGATCATTATCCTTAGGGTTAAGAGAGAAGACATTATTTTTCCTAATATACAATAATATATATCTTATAATGATACAATAATATATAACTTGTAATGAGTGAGAGAATTATTATAGAAACAACATGTTTTCTTAAAAATTACATTGGATGTCAATCTTTGGGTTTCATCTATTGAATCCTGTGTCGGCCAGGCCTAACGTTGCTAAATACTCCAGATTCGGACATAAAATGTATAATAGTTTCTCACTAATTTTCGGCGTTACATGGTGCGACAAAATTATATGTTTTTTACTGCTGATTATATATAACTTCATACAAACATATAAGAAAATGGGACATAGAAATCGGACAAAGAATAATAGAATATAAATTTGTCATAAAATCCATGTAATGTACATGCAGGAATAAGTCATTTACATGAATGGGTAAGTCATTTACATGAATGGATTTTAATTAACAACCAATAATAAGTAATTTACTTGAACGGAATTTTTACTTAAATAGCCTTCTATACTTGCGGATTTCCCTTCCATAGAAATCATGTGTATTTGTTACACGTGTGTTGAACATTCATGTGTATATTTCAGATATGTTTGGGAAATTTGTTCGTATTTGAAACATGTTTGCTAGAAATGCATGCGTATTTTTCAGAAATATGTGGGAAAACCGTATGTACCTGTAACGTGTGTGTTGGAAATTCATGCGTATAATTCTGACATTGAGGGGAATGTTTTCGTATTTGTAACACATGTGTTGGGAATTAATGCGTATTTTCAGACATATGTTACGAAATCGTCCGTATCTCTTACACTTGTATGGAGATTTAATTAGTACATTTGTATATATAACACTCACATAACTGCTTTCTTCTCTTAATGAAACCAGTATTTGTAAGTACCAGAAAGAGGACCAAGAGTGGGATTCTATCGAGCTGAATAGGAGGGATTTACACACTAGGACATTTCTAAAAGTAAATTCACCGATAAGAAATTGCCTAATTATTCTTGTACAGGATTTATTCTCAGCAAAAATATCCTTTTTGTAGATGAATGTCAGTCATAGGTCATTGATTATTGAATATAACTTTGAAACTTGTCTCACCTTTAATTGTTATTTTTAAGCATTTGATTTTGATCATTAATATTTATTTATAAAATCATTAAGTCAGAGCATTCAATTTTAATTAGGTTGACTTCTATAATTATTCCCTTTCGTACCAATAATATGAAACATTCTGATTCAGAAGATATTTGTTAAAACGCTTGTTAACTTTTACTTTTTTTACAAGGAAATTTTACATTTCTTGGATTAAAAAATCACATTTTTGATGAGAAAGAATCAATAATTCTTTGATTAAAACAATTGATCCAGAAGGTTATCACGCTTTAATTTAAATTAAAAAATAGTATGAATTTATGATATCTGTATCCAGAGGAAGAATTTAATTTGGATTTAAATCTAAATTTTGAGGGAATTTAATCACATGTATATATTCAAGATACCTAAGTATTAAATTGTTTGATTAAAAAGTTTAATTATTCATTCTTTTATATGTTTTTCTTTATAGAGTTGATAAACTAACTCTACTTTATTTCTTATTCAGAGGATTAATTATCTACTTAGATTTAATTTTCTATTGTTATACCTGGATTAAAATTAATTAAAGTTCCGATTCAGAAGTTAGTTCCTTATAGTTGAATTTTTTGAAACAGAAGATTCATTAATTTCTTATGGCATATTAGAATTGCAATTATTTACTCAAATTTTATTTTTTTTTATTACATTTCATTTTTCTTATTTTAAAACTGACCCATATCTTAAAATAAATTCACTTTTAATAAAAATATTTTTAAACATAATTAATAAATGAGAGTTTTTTTTCTTTTGGTAAACATTGAAAGTATGAGGCTACAAATGTATAAAAAGCTCACATTTCCAAAAGTTCCTTTTAAATTCAAAATAAATTCTAACATCATTATTTTAGACATATCTTATGGTCAAAATGAGAATGCTCTGTAATATTTGTTAGATCAAAATTTAACATTAGGAGTATCATTTTCTAAGAGTTTATAGTGTATACTCGTATTCTATGATATGAAGCACATTGTTTGTACGACTTTCCTGATAATGTGTATCACGTGATACACATAACAGATATTGATGACCTAGTCGTTAATCCTTCCTATAAAGTAAAATATATGTATATCTTTATCTTTATATCTTGTAACTCACTGTATTAAAACTATTTCTTTTCAGAGTTAAAAGTGGCATTTACAGCACACAGCTTAGATAGAAGCTCAACATCAACAACTACCCTTGTGTTCAGATCAGTATACATTAACTATGGCAATGCATACAGCCCTTTAACGGGGAAATTTACTTGTAAAGTCCCTGGATTATATTATTTTTCTGTAACGCTAACAAAGGGCTATTATGCTAAATTGGGTTCGGTTTCCGCTTATTTAAGGATCAATGCTTATGTTCATTTGTACATGTGGTATGACCCATATGATGACGACGACAAGTTTGAATATGGAGCGACCCCGTTAACACAGTCTGGAACGTTTCACCTGAATAAAAATGATGTTGTAGATATTTACGGTATTCCTTACAATTTTTCAGAGTATGACAGGACTAGTACATTTACAGGATACTTGATAACACCCGATTAGGTTTTATAATATATGCGAGATAGTCCCTCTTATTAAATATTTAAATGTAAAGATGCATGTTTAAACACATTTACGAATAATAATCAAGTTTATTACAGAAGATTTTAAGTAAAATTCAACTGAACTGTCCTGTCTAGACAAATTCTATTAGAGTCTTTTATAACAACATTTCAAATAAACATCCTGATAAAAATTAAAAAGCCAATGTACGAAATGAAATCATAAAGTGAATATTGATGTTGAATCATCACTTGATTCGAGTCTGGTCAGGTACTAGTTATTATTTTATGTAGGAATATTATGCAAAAAAATTACGAAATTTGTTGGTTGTACTAAAGAAACCGATCCTGTTTTTTCATGTTTATTTAAGCTTTTCTTACAACATAATACATATGATTTTAGTTACATGTAGTTTCTTGTGTGTATGATCCTCTTGTCTTTTATCATTATTCTTATATAGAATGGCTATGTACATGTTGTATGATATTTTATACTGTAGACATGTTTTAAAGTGCTCGAGGTATTCCTTAACCAGTTAAAACCCAAAGTTGCTACGACTAAAACCTGACCGACAGTAAATCAACAACAACTTGGCCATAAATATTCTCTTTTTTAATCAGCGTATCATTCTGTAAAAAGAATTGAAACATGATACAGAAAATGTTTATTATGATTGTGATATTTTTTACTACATTATAAAAATTTTAATTATAGTATTCAGTGTTTAATTGTTGAGATATAAGTACTCGAAAATCTGTGTTTCTGTTAAGTGTAAATAAAAAGTATAATATATAAAAACTTTCATTTAAGTAACTTAAAACTTCTTCATATTTTGTGTATTTTCCTATTCACTACAATGGTTGTGTCATCCTAAGAATAAGAATTTCCGAACAACCAATGCTCGATTCTTACATTAAAGGAAACTAGAGTACCTCATTTGTGTAGAGGTCAATAATGAACTCCAAACATATAGACAACAAATAAACAAATTGGAGATGCCTTACTGAACGTACTGGTAGAGAAATTGTTACTGAGGATGAGCACATAAGTCATTGTGTAAGGACATGTTAAAAGTGACTAAAAGAGAAAATAGTTTTATTATTTATTCAAACGACGCAGGTCACTTTCGTTGTGATAAATCATGAAAACCTTTCTACGGTCATTCGCACTGAACCTCTGATCTGGCATGTACATAAGTTACAGTTCCTTGCGAAAGTGAAGGCAACTAGTACTGGTAAACTGCTTGATAGCCTGCCCAGGAACGATGCGGTGGTTGAACAGTGCTCTGATGAATTCAATGTGGCTTACTGTCGTGATCCGGATTAATTTGCAAGATTATGCAAGATGTTAATTATCATCTCAAGTGTCATACATTTATTAATTGATTGGTTGTGGCAGAAGATTGAACTCGAGCAGGCTCATTTCCAGTTCTGTGTCGTGAGCCGTTGTGCGGGAGCATTATCATGGTGTAGAATAACATGGTCCAAGTCTAGCTAAGGTCGCTTACGGCGGTACCAAGTCCCGACGTAACACCTGAATGTTGATAACGCACAGCATTACGGCAATATTTTAAAATGCATTTTCTAAAATTAAATTACTACTATGACGTCATTCCTTTGTTCTGACCGTACTGTATTTTTAATACAGTACAGGTAGGCGTCCAATATTAATGTGTTAGTCTACTATTAATCGTGTTACATATCGATATTAGACAGTGGAATGAATTGACCTGCAAACAAAAGAAAGCTGTTTTTAAAGGCAACTCATTTTGTTTATGTTTTAACTTGAAACACCCCTGGGTGTGGCATACAGTATGTTGGTCAGACAGGACGTTCTCTTAAAATTCGATTCCGTGAACATTTTTATAAAATGAGAAATCGCACAAAATTAACAACTTTTCTATATCAACATTTTCGTAAAGATGGTCATTCATTTAAAAATGTTTCAATTCAACCAGTGGAACAAATAATTTACGATTCTGATGCTTCTGCTAGTTTTAAAGTTAAAGTTAGACACTTAGCAGAATTAAAATGGATCAAGAACTTACAAACGCCTTTCCCACTTGGCCTGAATGACAATATTTTTCAACAAGGTAACATCTCTAAAGATCCAAACATTGATATATTTTCTATTCTGAATATTCGTAAACGTAAATCCCGATCTCACGGAGTACGTAGAAATGGCAACATCAAACGTAAATCTAAAATTACCCTGTCTGTCAACGACTTAAATATTATCTTAAAAACTCTGGTAAACATGCAATGTTATCACGTCTTACTTCCCTTTCATTATCATCTCTGAAAATCTTAGACGCGGAGGCAGATAATATAGTTATTCAAACAGATCCTTTATATACAGCAGCTTATCTTATTCAAAGTTATACTCAGCACGTCTTAAGACCTCATATCGACAACACTTCTGACCACAACAGGCATTTCCTAAAAGTAACCTTTCTTAATAAACGTATCGATTTCATCGATTTACCAAGTATTTTTCGTGATAAACGTGTCACTAATTCAGTTCCTTTATACTTCAAAAACTCCGAGATACCAATTATTTGCTATAAATATAAGAAACCTGTTAGAAATATCATATTTAATTACAACAAAGTGGTTTCTGACTTAGATATTCAGTCTAATACTCCAACAACTTGAGACTGCAATACTTCTAAATTCTGTAATTCAGATTTTGGCCATATAATCACTGGTAATTTTGATATAATTGCAGACAAAAGAATTCGTAACTTATTCTTGAAAGGACCTAAATACAGAATTCCTTCTGAGATTGATTTTAATGCTTGTCGTGGTCAGATTGCTGAATCTATAGAGGATTTTTCGGTCAAATGGTGTCGCCGTGAAAATGCGGATAGTAATGCTCTAGTTACATGGAAACGTAACATCTTTAAAATTATTGATTCACGTATTAATTTTTATCGTGGAAATGAACATCTTTTTGCCACCTAAATCAAGACTTACTTTAAGACATCTGAAAAAAGATATTCTAGCTTTTCATTCAAAATTTGTTTTGGTGCCAGCGGACAAGGCGGCTAATAATATTATAATTGTTTGACGAATCCATTACATTAACGTTTTGCATAAGGAACTAAATAGCACTAATGCGTATTCTAAAACCTCTGCCTCCGAAAAAGACATTGTAAACAATCATATTACTAATATTTCCAATCTTAAAGTCCAAATTAATGAAAAAGAACTCAAACTTCCTATTATGTATTGGATTCCTAAATTACATAAAAAACCTTACAAAGCCAGATTTATTGCTAATTCTACATCTTGCACTACAAATAAACTTTCTATTTTATTGACGTCTTGTTTGACTGCCATTAAAACACATGTTATTAGATATTGTGATAAAGTCTATGAAAACACAGGCAAACATCTCTTTTGGTCAATTAAAAATTCTGGTGAAATCTTGGATAAATTTAAAATTAATAACTTTCAAGCTTCAACTGTCAGTACATACGATTTTTCTACACTTTATACAACTTTGCCACATAAATTAATCAATGATAAACTAATTTCCCTAATTCAGAAAACTTTTGCCGGGAAAAAGTTACCTTTCTAGCATGTAATTCTAACAAAGCTTTTTTTACTAACGGTATTGTTAAACATTATACTATGTGGACCTGTGACGAAGTTTGTAGAGCACTCTCTTTTCTTTTAGACAACATTTATGTCAGGTTTGGTAATACCCTATTTAAACAGATCATAGGAATTCCAATGGGTACTAATTGTGCACCCCTGGTCGCCGATTTGTTTTTGTACTGCTATGAAAGAGACTTTATGTTGAGTCTCTCTGAAGAGAAACAACAAGATGTTATAGTCGCGCATTTAATAATACTTCCAGATACCTTGATGATATTTTTAATTTAGATAATCCTTATTTTGATCAAATGGTGTCTGACATTTATCCGCATGAACTACAACTTAATAAAACGAACTCTTGAAATTTTAGTACATCATTTTTGGATCTTCATATAAATATCAACAACAATTCTATTCACACGAAAATTTATGATAAAAGAGATGACTTGACTTTTGTATAGTTAATTATCCACATTTGGATGGAGACGTACCCCATGCAACATCTTACGGGGTTTATGTTTCTCAGTTAGTTAGATTCGCTAGAGCTTGTAGCAACGTAAGGATTTCAACGAGCGGAATATTTTTTATTACCAGCAAGCTTCTAAAACAGGGCTACCGCTATCATAAATTACGGAATATTTTACTAAATTTTACAATCGTAACTTTGATTTAATTTCTAAATTCAATAGTGATTTAAAAACTCTTCTGCGACAAGGGATTAGCCAGCCTGGTTTTTATGGCGATGTGGTTTACAAACTTCGTAAGATTTTTGGGTCATGGTAATTTTTCTGCTGTTTTTACTAAAATCATTAAACGTTTTATTAAAAGAGGTTATGACCCTACTATTTTAAGACATACTGCATGTTTAGTGTTCAACCCTTTTACAGTTGGACACTACGCTTTTTCCTCTTTTGATTGCATCTGACGGACAAGTGGGAGACTCTATGATGGATAGTTCGTAAAGCCCTTTGGGACTGAATTGTCTTAATGTTCGTCTTCTGCCTTGCTTCGTCGGGCCCTTGTAGGTGATTTTCTTGTTGCTCTGTCTTCCTTTAGGACATTGAGTACTTTTTGTTATGGTCATTGGGTTTACTTTTATATGTTTCTACATGATCATTTTAGTGTTTTACTTATTTAACCTTTTGTAACCATGAAAACTGTTAGAATTTCACTTGGCGGGGATTCATTTTATTTACACTGTCTCGTTTATAGGAACATCGTGGGGCTAAGAGCGAGGTTTGGTGCACCATTAACCGGTTTAAACTCCCCAGCAGTCATTATTATTGCTGCTGACCGTTCCAAGGCGGCGCCCCACTGTGTTCCTCAGATGTATGTCTATGTTGTTTCATATTGTTTTTATGACACTTTTGCTTGTGTCCCTTGTTGTTTTCTCGTCTACGGTTAGTATCTTCCCCATTGCCTCTAGTTTTTATTTCTTTGATTAACCCCCCCCCCTTCCCCCGGTCTCCTGTCCCCTTCCCCTTTGTGGGCCTATTATTATTTTCTTTGAATTCCTAATCAGTTACAAATTATTTATCATTTAATGATTAACGTGTCGTTGCCCTGTCCTTTTTATGTTTTTGGGGTCCGCCTGGGCTCCTTGCCATTGGTTCTTGTGCTGGTCATATGGGGGTTGCGTTCATTGAACGCCGCCTTTCCTTGTTGATCTTGTTTTATCATATTTTTGTTGTTTGTTTGTTATTGAATTGTAACAAAAAAAACACATGAACGAATTTCACAAGCAATTTTCCATTTATAAGACAACTCGCTTTAACGCAAGAAAAAAATCACATAAGTACCAATAGTCAGAATTTGAAATTGAATTTCATGCCGTTGCCTTCGAAAGAAAATTCACAACTTTTGTCATTTTTTAAACTATTATCAACTTTTTGACGTTTGGCACTTTGAACAATTTTGCTAACAAGCTCTTGTTGTTGTTCCGAAGTACGCTTGTAACCTCTTATAGCGTCAGACCTATGTCCTGTCTTCTCCCATATCAACTGTTTATCAACTCCAGCAGAGAACAAGCGCGTGGCTGCAGTTGCACGAAGTGAATGGTTTGTGTAGAAACCATCAAACCAGCATCATTAC